GATTTATGAAGACATTGTGCGGCTATGAAATTTTGTTTCCTGCTTGGGAAAAATGCTGCAGAAACCGTTGTAATGTTGCACACGGCTTAAAAGGATAGCACTATGGGGAAAAAACAAGTGGTTTCTCATTTCAAAAAAGGTGAAATGTTGATTGATGACAACCCTGTTGTGGATGTCCATCAACTTCCCAAATGGATGAAATGTTGGCAAAATTCATGCACTTGTGCTTGAAGACTGACAGCGGACCATTGAACAGATAGGGAAGTTATCTGGACTATTTTGGAGCTTGGTTCAGAGAATTTTAACAGAAGATTTGGGAATTAGAAGCATCGCTGTGAAATTTGTGCCTTGGGTTCTGGCTGACCAGGAAAAAGAACGCTGAGTGGAAACATGCCATTCTTTGAAAGAACAGCTCTGAAAAGACCCAGACTTTTTTCCCCCAAGGTCATTAATGGTGATGAAAGATGAAAGATGGTGCTATTCTTATGACCCCGAAACTACTCGTCAATCAAGCCAGTGGAAGACACCATTGTCACCTTGCCCCAAAAGAGTTCGTCAAGTGAAATCAAAGATCAAGATGATGCTCATATATTTTTTTGATGTGAAAGGGATAGTACATTTGGAGTTTATTCCACCAGGTCAGACTGTTCTTCAAGCTTTCTGTTTAGATGTTCTGAAAAGATTGTGTAACAGTGTGGGACGAAAAAGGCCTGATTTATGGCAGACCAGGGACTGGTTTTGCCACCGTGACAATGCACCTGCTCATGCATTGATCTTAGTGTGCCAGTTTTGGGCAAAAAACAAGATGCCTCTCTTGTCCCATGCACCTTACTCACCTGACCTTTCTCCATGCAACTTTTTCGTTTCCATGAATGAAGAGGGGCATGAAAGGATAGCAATGATAATGTAGAAGAGGTGAAGAAAAACATGAGAGAGGTGCTATCAGCCATCCAAACAGATGAGTTTGAAAAATGTTTCCAAGAATGAAATTGCAATACTCTGCTTTCTCTTCAGATCGTATAAATCTTTCGCCTTTTACTAAAGATTTCCGTGGAGAGGAACAATTCTGAATCATAAACTAATTTTTTGAGGCCTTGCGCTAGCAAGGCTAAGGAAAAAAAAAGAATGAAATTGAAGATTTGACAGATGTATTAAGTGTAATGGAGAATAAGGTTGATAAGGTTGTTTAGTAAAAACATTTAAATACACTGTTTTGAGAAAAAAAAATCCAGTGTTTTTTGGGTACCCCTTCATGTAGATATATATCCTGATGTTTGCCTTGACTTTTCAGACTTAACTGAAATTCCACAGAATGTTTTCTTATCTGACTTAAAACTTATTTGTCAAATTTCTATTGTTTCCCATCTCTGATGTACTTCAGTGAAAATTTTACTGTGGTTAATGAAGGATAAAAGTAATTTTAAAGATCAGATGTAGACTCAAAATTTAATTAAACCTACTTTTAGTTGAAGGACATTGGAAGAAATGTTTGCTTTGGCTTTATGAGTATCATTTATAGAAATACCAGTGAATATTTAAACATTTGAGCATTGAATATTTAAACATTTGAGCATTGAATATTTAAAATATTTTATTTGAAGAGGTAAAATTGCCTAGCAATTTTATGAGTAAAACTACCCTTTTCCTTTTTAGTTTATTCTTTAAATAACTCTAGTGAATTAAGCTGCAGATTTCCTTACATTCTGCATCCAGTGTTTGTATAGACTTTTACTTGCCCTTTGAGACTTTTATGCTCTCAGCTTCTGTGACCACATACATTGAATTGACTCAGAAGTAACATTATGCTATTAATTTAAATTTATCTCCTCTTCTTTCCAGTGTTCCTCAGTCCATCTTAATGCATTTCATTTATCTAGTACCTACTGTGGGTCAGGCAGTGCACTAGGTTCTTTTGCATATATTGCTTAATACTTAAAATCAAATACAAAACAGTGTATTTTTTTCTTAATTTTAAAGATGAGAAAAGTAAGTTTCAGGAATGCTAAATAGCTAGTTCATGGTCACCCAGGTGCTAAGTGGCAAAGCTGGGATTAGATTTAAAGTCTATTTAAGGCTGCCTAATCCAAGCTAGTACTCCTCGTTATTCTTGTATTTTGTTGTTTTATTTTTGTGCCATGTCGTGGTGGCTAAATGTTTACTAATATCCTCTTTTTTTTCACAATTCAGAATCCAACAAGCTAAAGGTGCAGAAGGTGGAGCCCTGGAACAGTGTACGTGTGACATTTAACATCCCCCGGGAAGCAGCAGAGCGGCTAAGGATCCTGGCTCAGAGCAACAACCAGCAGCTTCGGGATCTGGGGATTCTCTCCGTTCAGATTGAAGGTCTTTATTTTGCCATGTGGCCATCTGTATTAAAATCATACCAATAGTAGTAGATAACAAGAGTTTCTAGGTTGATATGTTTGTTGTTTGTTCCGGAATGCCAGGTAACATATATAACCTGTGCTTCACATTGTAGCACCTCAGAATAAAGGTTGAGCTGTTTGTTGGTCCTGATGCTCTTCAGCATCCATAGCCCCAGACACTGTTCTTTCTTTGGCTAATTCTGATCATCAGTTTCTCCCACTTGGGTTTTACTGGCATTTGCACCAGAATATCTGATTTCAGTTGCTTCTTTCGACAAAACCAAAACCAAATCAATTGCTATTGAGTCAATCCTAACTCATAGCTGTAATCTTTATGGAAAGGAGCCTTTGTGGCACAATGTTAGATACTTGGCTGCTAACCCAAAGTTCAGCATTTCAAACCTACCAGCTACTCTGGGAGAGAGAGATGTGGCTGTCTGTTTCCATGAAGTGTACAGCCTTTGAAACTCTTTGTTGCAGACAGTTTTACTCTGCCCTATAGGCTTGCTATAATTCTGAAGCAACTCGATAGCAATGAGTTTTTCTTGTCTTTTTTTCAATCTTAATAGAGGCAGACTGCCACATATTTCTCCCACAGAGGCTAGTGTTCTTTTTTTTTTTAATAATAATTTTATTAGGGGCTCATACAACTCTTATCACAATCCATACACACATCAATTGTGTAAAGCGCATTTGTACATTCATTGCCCTCATCATTCTCAAAACATTTCCTCTCCACTTAAGCCCCCGGCATTAGGTCCTCATTTTTCCCCTCCCTCCCCGCTCCCCCCTCATTCAGGAGCCCTTGATAATTTATAAATTGTTATTTTGTCATATCTTGCCCTGTCCGACATCTCCCTTCACCCACTTTTCGGTTGTCCGTCCCCCAGGGAGGAAGTCACATAGAGTTCTTTATGCTAGTGTTCTTAAACACCAGTCTTTTTGATGACCAGCTAAGTCCTTAATCACTGTGCTACCAGGTCTCCTTTCTTTCCACCAACTATGCCTTGGTATTTTTCTTTATCTTTATTCATCTAGCAGATTAGGAGGACCTGAACATTCCTCATAGAGCAGTATTCAATTTTTCAAATATTTTTATCAAAGTGATCTTTTCAAAATGAAAATATGTCCAAAACACACATTTACACATCCAGTTTAAAACCTTGGTATAATGTGATGTTGTTCACTGGATAAATACCAAACTCCTTAAGATAACTTAGACTTTGCATGATTTGGCTATCTTCCTCAACCAACCATTTCTTGATCTAGCTCTATGCTCTTCTCTCTGTGTTCTAGCTTCTCCAGTTTTCTTTTAGTTCCATAAACATGCAAGTCTACCTCCTACCACAGGTCCTTTGCATATCCTTTTCCTTTGCACAGGTCCTTTTCAATATGGAATACTATCTCTTACTATTACCCCTTTCCTTAATTGGTTTTTAGATAGCAACTTAAGAGCTTATTGAGGATGCATTTTCTGAATCACTGGGCTAAATCAAAGGCTTTTGATTCCAACTCACAGCAACCCTTTAGAACAGGGTAGAACTGCCCCTTAGAGTTTCTGAGACAGTAATCTTTGCAGAAGCAGTTGCCACATCTGCTTTCTATAGTGCAGCTGGTAGGTCACAACCTACCAGCTAACCACTTTTGGCTAACCACTGAGTCTTTAACCATTGCGCCACCTGGGCTCCCTCCACCTGTTAATTTACCCAAATTAAAAGACTCTGAGACTAATTGGTAGTGTTTTCTATTAAAGCAGCTGTTCTCAACCTGTGGGTTGCGACCCCTTTGGGGTTTGAACAACCCTTTCACAGGGGTCACCCGATTCATAACAGTAGCAAAATTACAGTTCTGAAGTAGTAACGAAAATAATGTTATGGTTGGGGGGCACCACAACATGAGGAACTGTATTAAAGGGATGCGGCATTAGGAAGGTTGAGCCACCACTGTACTAGAGAAAAGAAACACCCCCTCTCCCATTAATCAGACTTACTTCTTACAAGTTCTTTTAAGGGTAATTCCCCTTTATGGTTATAGTCATACATTTGTAAGTTATAATATGAAGTCTGGCTGCTGTCCCACCACTTATTTATCAGTTTATCAGACAGTGGTGACTTGCTTATTGCCCTATGTGACTATGCCACTTTTTTTTTATACCATGAAGTTCACTCAGCAAAGCTCCCAGACTCAGAACAGACTAGGAAGAAGGAAGATAAGCTGCCCACTTCTGAGGGATGAACCACTGAAGCCTTATTAATAGTAGCAGACCATTGCCAGGGATAGTGCCCAAAGATGGATCCCTCATGTTGGAAGGAACTCAGAAACAGGATCTTAATGTGCTGAGGGGACATGACTCAAACTGAGAAGAAACAGCTGCAAGCATCCATTAGTAATAAAGACATTGAATGTCTGAAATATATGTCTATAAAAAATGAAATGGACACATAAAGATCAGTATCGTTAGCATTAACGAGCTGAAATGGACTGCTATTAGCCTTTTTGAGTTAGACAACCGTATGGTTTACTATTCCAGGAATGACAAATTTAAAGGGCCACATTTGTCATCAAAAACATTTCAAGTATGTGGTGGCATAATAACTATATGCCTATCAAGAAACCCAGTTAATACAATTATTACTCAAATTTATACACCAATCACTGGTGCTAATAATAAAGAACTCTACTAAATTCTCCAGTCTGAAGTAGGTCAAACAGGCAATCACAATGCATTAGTAATTATTTGTGACTGGAATGTAAAAATTGTAAGCAAAAGGGGTCTGTAGTTGGGAAAGTATGGTGTTGGTAATAGAAGTGAAGCTGGAGTTTGCTTGATATAATTTTAAGTAATTATTTGTGACTGGAATGTAAAAATTGTAAGCAAAAAGGGTCTGTAGTTGGGAAAGTATGGTGTTGGTAATAGAAGTGAAGCTGGAGTTTGCTTGATATAATTTTATAAAGTCAATGACTTCATCGCAGTACCTTTTTCAAAAATGCAAATGGAAACTATAATACATGTGCAATGGAATATACAAGAATCAAATTGACTACATGTGTAAGTTGTTGGAAAAGCTCATGGTCATCAGCCAAAAACAAGGCCAGGGGCTTACTGTATATGTAGGCTGAAGCTGAAGAAAATTAAAAGAAGTCCTTGAGAGCCAAAATAGGACCTTGAGTATATCTCACCTGAATTTAGAGAAATCTTCCAGAATTTAGAGAACTATATATATATATAGTTGTAAACATGTTGACCCGCAACGCTGTTGCAAGGTGAGCAGAGAAGAAAAAGGCCCTTCCCCTCCTGGGCTGAGGGCCGAGGGAAGGGGCTGGTTGGTGCCTTCTTCTCAGACTCGCTTGTCCTATGGGTGTCCTCACGGCGGGGGCAGGGTGGAGAAGGGAGAGTCATTCTCCAGAACTCAGTGTGCCTACTGGGGTCCCAAGCTCAGCTCTGCTCCAATGTCTACTTAGAGAACAATTAAGAACAAATATGTTGCATTGAACACAAATGACTGAAAACCTAATGAGTTATGGGACTACATCATACATAAAGAAAGCTAAAGGTTATTAAAAAGACAAGAAAGAAGGAAAATATCAGCGTGGATGCTTTGAGACCCAAACTTGCTCTTGAGCCAAAGTGAATGGAACAAATAATGAAATAAAAGAGCTGAACAGAAAATTTCGAAGGGCAGCTGAAAAAGATGGGGTAAAGTATAACAAAATGTGCAAGGACTTTGTCTTAGAAAGAAGACAAAAAAAAATAGAGTAAAAAAAAAAAAAGAAAGAAGACAAAGAAAAAAATTAAGCTTCAAGTTGCAATATTGAAGGGTTTTATGGGTAAAATATTGAATGATGTAGGAAGTATCAAAATAAGGTATAATACATGGAGTCACCGTGCCAAAACAAATTGATCTATGTTTAGTCATTTCAAGAGGTAACATATGATCCAGAATAGGTGATATTGAAGAAGTCCAAGCTGCACTGAAGGTAGTAGTGGCAAACAAGGCTCCAAGAATACCAATTGAAAAGTGTCCACAAGGTTATGTAGTGCTAGAAGCACTCACAGCTACCTTGCCAACCAACTAGATGAAATCTTCATTTGTGCCCATTCTAAAGAAAGATACCCAACAGAATGTGGAAATTATCAAACAACATTGCTAATATCACATGCAAATAAAATACTGCTGAAGAAGTTAAAAAACAGCTGCAGCAGTACATTAACAGGGAGCTGCCAGAAATTCAAGATGGATTCAGAAGAGGACTTGAAACAAAGGAATCATTACTGACATCAGATGGAGTTTGGCATAAAGTCAAGAAATTTGAGGAAGTTTTTTTTATTATAGTTTTATTGGCATATAATCTATATTTCACAAAATTCAGTAGTTCAATCATATCCAAAAGAATTGCACAATCATTACCTCAATCAATTTAGAACATCCCCCCCCATATTTAAATCGCTTTTAAAATGAGTGATGTAATCACAGTCACTTCTAGTGCGCCCTCTCACATACATTATTTGCTTCCCCAATCCCCTCACCCTTCCTGTCTCCCACCCCCTACTTCTACCTCCATTAAAAATCTTCTGTTGCAATCCAATAGCAACAAACAAAGTGTTAAGTTGAAAATAATGATGATATAAAGATAAAAATACAAATAATGAGTAAGAAAGAAAAGCCACCATCAGCATTTAAAAGACCAGAGAAGACATTTTTGTTATAGAATCTTGTGTTTTATTGAGTATACAAAGTATTCAACTGTATGGATCATAACAAATGATAGATAACATTTGGAAGAATGGGAATTCTAGAAAATTCATTGTGCTTATGCCGAAGCTATACATATATTAAGAAAGCAGACATTCATACAAAACAAGGAAATACTGCATGGTTTAAAATCAGGAGAAGTGTGTGTCAAGCTTGTATCCTTTCACCACAACTTATTCCATCTGTACACTGAGCCAGTAATCTAAGAAGCTGGACTACATGA